CTGTGGCCATGACGGCTAAACTCACTGAATGAACTTTAAGTCTTTTGTCTTCTCTTGCCAAGAGTACGAAACCAGCCTAATGAAAAGTTCTTGGAGATACCTGCAAGATGTTTAAATTATAGATATGTGTCAGAGTTGCCTGACTTTCGAGATTCTAAGACCACAGCGAAAGAAGCTCTAGCGATCTGGTGGTTTCATTACGCATGGACCTAGAATAAAGAAGACAAAGCAAATCTCTTAGTTGATTCCTTCTGAAAGAGCAGTGCCAGGTTGGAAGAGAATTTCACTGCTATCCTTGGCCTTCCTCTCACTAAATAACACACTTTCCACGTTGTACAAAGCAGAGCTACCAAGGGGCCAATTCGTTCTCTTCAAGGCCATACTGCAAGTGGGGAAGGGACGAGGGAAAATGATATCACCGATACGTGGTGGAAGCAGTGCAGCCTGTGGAGGAAGGGTTAGGAGCAGGAATTGTAAAGTCTGCTAAATCTGACTCTAAATCCTTGCTTCCCACTTATGAAGTGGGAAGTGCTGGTTGTAGTGCTGAATTCTCTAAGTATTCCTGAGTAATAAAATGAAGGATGGGGGCTGGTGAGATGGCTCAGTGGTCTAAAGCACCTACTTAGAGCAAGCTTAGCAAAGCACGAGGACCACTGTTCAATCCCCCAGCACCACATGCCAGCCAGCCCCGCCCCCTGGTGGGCTGAGCTGGCCACACACACACACACAAATAAAATTTAAAAAAAAAAGATTTAAATAATAAAAAAAAATAAAATAAAATGAAGGATGGTGGTATTCGTGATGTAAGAATTCAGATAATATGAAAAGAAAGCAACTAGGACTGCATCTGGCCCAGGCAAAGAGCTCACTAAGTGGTAGCTGTTGACAAAAATCATTGTTTTAAGGCTGGAAATTACCATCTTTAACAAGCAGAGACCCTCAGTGTGGCCAATGACTTTCAAACAGTATTTTTTTTTTCTGTGTTCTTGGCTGTGACATCTTCTTTTATCAAAGACTGGCAGCCTGACTTTCTGTTGGGTGTATCTCACTCTGGCGCCTTGGGAGGGCCAGGAAATATTCCAGACAGACTGCAATTTCACCCCTTCTGAGTGGCAAGGAAATGAGGCCATGGATAAGCTATGCTGAGAACAGATCAATAAGAAGAGTTAATTTTCTAAGGAAAAGACAATGAAACAAGAAAGGCTGGGGCAGTAAGTTTTGGTACTGAGGCCTGTCTACTGGCACCAGGAAGTGTGGAAGAAAACCTCCAAATACACTGTGGTTTGTTAAAACTCCCAAGACTCCAAGTGCTACCGCCCTTGGCAGTGCCCCCCATGGGCAAAGCATCCTCAGCACCTAGGGAGGAGGAAATAGGGCCTAATGACTGCCACAGGAGACAGGCCGTCTGCTGAGCTCAGCATGACCTGTAGTGTGACCTCAAGTGACTCATCTCCCCATCTTGGAGAAATTTTCCAGAGTTCTCAGTACCCAGCTAAAAGGGTCTGATGAAAACAAATATGATGAAAGGGAATTTATAGCAAGGTTCACTACTGCATCCCTTCCACACAACCTGGCCAGTGGCTTTTAGAGTTTCTAAACACTGACTTTTCATGTACTTAGGTACATGAAATTACTTTTTTCTTTTTTCTTTTTTTGGCAGAACCAGGGATTGAACTCATGCCCTTGTGCTTGCCAGGCAAGCGCTTATTCTGAGCCCTCTCCCCGGCCCCTGAAATTACTCTTCTAATTTACTTAGTCCTGCTATCTCCAGCTTTTTCAGTTGGCTCCTGCTGACCTCTGACTCCTGGTTCCAGTGCGACCTCTGATCTTAATATTGTAAACCAGACTGAAAGCACTTCATTTACAATTAAATTCTATTTCTTCCTTAACTATATGGAAGTACAACTTTCAAAGTTCCACAAAGATGATTTTGCTGGCCTTTTGTTTTGCTAGAAAACATGGTAAAATTTAAACTTGACTGACTTTCCTCCTGGTTAATATAACTGTAAAGCTGTAAATGTTATTCAAGACCAAGTATCCTGTAGGTTACAATCTACTATGTTCAGAAAACGTACGTAGACATGGGTCACTTTCCTCGGAAGAAGACACCTGGCTGTAGATAATAATGCTCTTAATCTGCTCTTTGACCATTGCCCGGAGGGGCCTACAGCACTCCCAAGACATCAGGAGTAAATTAGGCCTCCACAGCTAATAACCCAAACACCACATCCCACAGTAAGCATGCAGATCACTGCGAATATTTACATCTAGCAGGGTCCTTTGTGCACAACTCCGACAGACAAATTGTATTTCCAGTAATGGTTTATTGATTTCCAAATGCACAGGGGTGCCAAGTCCAAACATCCTGGGATAGCAGTAAATCTCTCTTACAAAATAATTTACAGCATGAAAATGATATACTGAAACATTAACTCAAAGTGCAATTCCCTTGACAGATTGAGTGTTCCCTTACTTAAAGGGTAGAAAGTAAAGGGGAGTGGGAAGGAACTGGGACTATGCATAGGCCAACAAGGAGAGGACAACGGGTTCACCGGCTCTGCCTGCTCCTGCAGGATGACCTGTCACATACAAAGTTGCTGTGTCGCTGATGCCCTACCAAGCCCAGCATGGGCTTTGTGGCTTCACCCTAGAGGATCCGTGTCTTCATGCACTTTCATTCTCCCACTTTTGCCCCCTTCTTTTTTTTTTTTTTTTTTTTTTGCTGCTTCTGGTTTGCTCAGTTCCAGGCGATCCCGTCTTACCAGGCAAGTCCGGTATTCCAGACAACACTGTCTCTTCTAGGAAAGAATGAGTCTTATGGCTCTTGGAAAAGACTGGCGGGTAGGGGGCTTCAGAAACATTGCTGGATAAAATCAGTATTGTGAAATCTGGAGTCTCCCCTACAGGTTTTCTTTTTCTCTTAGGGCTGAGCTGGACTTGATCCATAATGAGAGTTTGTTTTTTAAACAGAAAAGTCTGCTCAGCACACAGTGAACATGCAACTGATTTTCTTAGAGAAGCATACTGAACAGCCACTATGTGAAGGTACAATTCTAAGAGTCAGGGGGAAGGTATTTTCTAGTTGGGGCAAGAGGACTCCCTAGGCTCTGCCATTGCTGCAGGGCTGTGAATTATACAGTTCTGCGCTCAGGCCCAACCAGTGACCAGAATGACCCAGGTCACCAAATGGCTAGGTATGTAAATCTCTCATGGTGTCAGACATCTTGGAGAAGGACTGGCGTGCCATTTCCTTCAAGGCTGTTAGCTTGCGTCAGTGCCTCAGGAGCTGACAAGCTCTGCCAGGGAGGAACTCTCCAAGCACACAGGCTCCAATTATCTGGTGGCACTTGTAATCAGGCTGGAAGCAACCTCTGCGGTGACATGCAAGATAATGAGGGGCTGCTCTGAGCTTCTCCTAGTTCTTAAACTGTGTCTGTGTACAGAGTAGCACATCACATTCATCATCTACATCTAAGTGCAGGGACACACCCCAGGCATCAGCAGGAGAGAAACGCATCACGACTTCGAGTTGACATGTCCCTCAGAATCCACAACGGGTGGCTATGTTTACTAAAATATGAACATTTCCTTTCTGTAGCAATGAAGCAGCAGATAATTAAAAATAAAGTCAGTGAGCTGAATGCCTTTCACTTTTACTATGCTGGAAGCGATTTGCCCTTAAGGCCAAGAAACACCTTCTTCCCAAGGGAGGGCACCAAGGCGGAGGGCTCCCCAGCTCCTGAGCAGCCATGTGCACTCAGAGCATCTGCCGGGGTGCAGGATGAAGGCAAGCTCCATGTCATTTCTGAGTCCAAGCAACAGCCATGAAATGTCTTTTTAAAGAGTTCAACAAATGGATGGTCTAACTGCAGCAGGTGAACCTGGAGCCTTTTCTCCCTTTGTTTCTAGCGCACCATCTTCTGGGTTGCCTTATAGAGCTGGGTTCAAACCTGCCTCCAGTATTTTCCTGTGTGTAGCTCCAGACAGACTCCTCCTCCCTGCACCTGTTTTTTCATCTATCAAATGGAGGCATGAGGCCTGGCCCGTAGCAGGCCTCAATACAGATTATCTCCCTCTCTGTGCTAGCAGAGCTTTGACTTCAAGTACTTCCTAGGACTGTCTCAGATTCACTCCTATCAAATCAAAGGACACAGCCCTTTCACCATGTGAAAGGCAGCCAGGACCTGCTGAGTACCAGGTCCATTCTGCACATACCCATCACCTCCATCCCTGATGATGGCCCCCAGGGTGGTGACCGCAAACCTTTTAGAGCTTTCAATGAGAAGAAACAGAGGGCTGTGGCACCCTTGCCCCAGGTTCACCAGCACTGCCCTCAGCGTGGCTACAAACCTTGCAGCCTCCAGTCTGTCAGGACAGGATCCTGGCACTCTCCTATTGACCCAGCAGGAGGGCAGCCTCATCAAGCTGGGGCTTCAGCTTAGGGGAAGCTGGTGCCACTGGAGGATGCATCCTGGTTCTCCATTGATAAATGCTGCCAGCAGGAACTGCAGAGCCTGGGCAGAAGCTGCTGTGCTGTGCTTAATGCTTCCCTGGTTAAAATTTTATCAGGTGCTCGAGACAGCAGGAGCCCATAAAGCAAATCTAGGTAAAAGCAAAAGTGCTTTCTTTGAGGATTACAGACACATGATAATTTATTGAGACAGGATCACACATATTTTTATATTTTTGTTTGCATCTGCTGCATAAATGCTTGGAGTTTTCCAAATACTGATTTAAAGGAGTAACATGTGATCAGGTTGGAAGTCCGTTGTTAGTACAAGGTTACCATTTGAAGATCTCATTACTGGGGAAAGACAGTACAAACTTCCAAATACAAGTATCTTCTGATATTTTAAATTCTTTGAGGAGTGGCTGCTGGCCTTCATCTAGGGTAGTTCTGCTGAGTATGGCTGGAGTATTGAACTCGTAGTACACTAAATTCTCCAGTCTTTGTAGACAGGCAGGTAAAGCACCAAAGGTGGCTTAGTCATTTGTGGGACACAGTTGGAGAAAGAAACATTTCTTCAACAGCTCAAACTCCTCTCAGTCCCAACCTTGCTGTACATATGGTGAGCAGGGGCAATCCTAACCTGGAAGTCTATGTGTTTGGTAACTTCCTGGCCTCAGAGGACTAGGTGACTTCAGAGCATGCAGAGTTGAATAATGGTATCAGCTGGATCCCACAGTAAGCTAGTGCTGTTTCTGCCTCACAACTACCTGCCCCAAAACTATCCTGCATACGTGCATTATCAGCTGGCCCGGACACTTAGTAAGAAGTACACAGACACGGGCAGGCAAGCAGGGAGGCAGGAAAAGAGGGATTCCCCTGGAACAGGGGCCTCGGTCCTGCCTCAGAAGAGCTGAAGTCTAGGCCTGCACAGCAGTAACCCCAGGGCTTCGTGCGTACAGTTCTGTTTGTGTCCTTCAGAAATGAACACAGAACTACTACCAAGCACAGAGCAGAGAGGAAACGCATATACTATCTGCAAACAAGAAGTGCCTTCCAAGACTCCCGCTCCAGCTCAACAGTTGATGTGGACGGATACTGTATTCTGTAATATAACTGGTTTTGTTTTATATAAAAAAAACTAGCCCCTAACTTCAAACAATTTGTTAAGAAAGCTGATTTTTAGTAAACTGCATGCTTTTGTACTTGCAATTTTGCATATCCCTAGGATATCACTGCCTCCTTGGGGGTAAAAAGCTTAGTTGTAAGGAACTGTGGTTTGGGAGTGGAGAAAATCCTGGAGACCAAGCTCCGGGGTGTGTCTGCTCACGCTACTTAAGAAGAGTGAGGGTGTGCGGGATGATCTGAAGGTCTGTGGGCGAGGAATGTCACAGGAAGGAGGACACCAGCTGGAGTGAAGGGCGGGGCTATCAGCCTGGGAAGGAAGCTAAATTCACCAAGCCAAAGAGGCAAGAATTCTCCCACACTGAATATAAGCTCTATCAGGCTGACCTGGGATTGAGACTGGCAAAATCTACAGTGAAAATTCTCATTTGGCAGTATACATTCCAGGCTTTCCTGTTATGACAAGCCCACAAAACCTGAAGAGTTCACCCAAATAATTAAAGTTTTGTCAGGTCCTTCAGTAACTACTTCGAAGCTCAGGCTATTTGAATTCAGAAATACTGATTTCAACTTTTAATCAGATTCTTTGGTCCACTTCTTCTTCTCCACCAAGGTCATTTCCTTTCCACCTCTTCAATCACTTTTTCATTTCCACAGCACTGAATTATGAATCTGAAGTCGTGGATCACTTCAAATACTAAAAATATCTATCATTCCAGCTTTTAACTCTTTCTCCAACCCCTATTCAAGTCATCCCTGCCCTGTGGCTCCCACCCTACCCCACCCCCAGACAGGCTAGGAGAGACCACGGATGCAGCCCCGCCCTGACTCTGCCCTCCCCTGTTCCATGCTTCAGTAGGAATGAGGCAGGGTTCTGTTTGCATTTGGCAAAAACGCTGACTTCCCTTTCAGTTTTTTCCCGTTTTTCCAGATGAAGTCATAGTGTTGACTTTTGTAATGTTACAGGGACTTTCCTGAGTCATAAGTTCAAAGCAGCCATGGGGGTTGGGGGGTGGTACCTGAAGGACCTTCTTACTTGCTCCCAACTGATCAAAAATGCTCTTTCCTTGACCTACCACAACAATCAATGAGGAGCACATACTCGGGAAGCACATGACTGGCTGTCTCTTGGAGAGTGTGTACCTGCTGTGGACCTGGGGACATATCTGAGGAAGGACAGTGGTTGCTGGGCAGCTTTCACAAAACTCCAAAGCTGCCACAGACACACACACAGGGTTACAGACACACAGGAGAAGGGGTGGTTTTCCACTGGGGATGCCAAGCCTTCATGTGTCCTCTTCTTCACTGGCACCACTGGAAAGCAAAAGGAGAAGCAGGTGAGTTAAGACATCATGGCAAGGGGGCAGTGTAGCCTGGGGCTTGAGGCACGGGCTTTGCATTCAGACACACTTGGATTCAAGCCCTAGTTACTGCAGCTGAGCAGTGGGCAAGCGAATGAAGTTCATCTGAGCTCTGATTTCTGTATCTGACTACAGAGAAAATGAAAACCAAGGTTTTTTTTACTGGAGTTACTGGAGAATTAAGTAAGAGGATATATTCAGTAAAATTCAGTGCCCAGTACACAGTAAATGAATAGCTATTTAAAGGAATAGGTGACAATCAACAATTTTTACTTAACTAACAAATTATTGATTTAAATCATGAGTTTAGTTTCCTCTAAGCCTTAAGCCATCTTGCAAGGAGAGCAAAACAAGAAGCCTTCAGTGGCATTTCCACTGGAATAAAAGCCAGGGTTCCAACTCATGCTACGAGGCCAGTCCCTATGTTTACATGTGATCTCTTCAGAGAAGGTCCTCTGCCTAAGTAGGACCACCTGGTTATGCTCTGTCTTCTTTCAGAGCACTCAGCACAGTCTAAACCTCATGTTCCATATATCCCCCCTGTACCCTAACTAGAGCAGGGAAGAACAACATTATTTTATCAAAGTCTACATAGCTAGCAGTAGTACTATGCTGGGCATACAGAATTACTCAATAAATGGTTGTTTTTAAAAAGGGAATGAAATAATATCAGAAAGAAGGGGAGGGAGGACTACACGGAACTGGAAGGAATGGCCAGTCATTACTTCCCTAACCAGAGTATTCCAGATGGCATGATGTTTTAGTGGCCAAAAAATATGAGCTGCACAATCCCAGAGGCATGGTTAAGACCTCAGCTGCTCAGAATGCATGTCTGGCCTGGGCACTGGGGGAGAACACTGTCCATACAGTAATAAGGGCGAAGAGAAGGCCAGCCCAGAGACGACAGGTAAGCACACTCAGAAGGCAACCATCCCTAGACTGGCTTTATCTACTACTACAGAGAGCACTGTCTAAAATACTGAAAACAGACAGCGTGACCTGGTGCTTACTATGAGCCAAGGGCTAAGTTTTTCACCCATTCTTTCTATTACATTTCATACAAATCCTAAGATGTTATAACTACTGTCATCCCACATTCCAGGGGAAAAAAGTGAAATTTTGGAACATGAAAAATCTTAGGGTAAGGTGTGTGTCCTTAAAACTCAAGATTTAGTACTGGCTGGAGAAAACCTAAAGTAGTCACGCTGGGGCCGGAAGGTCTGTGGCATGTCAGTGCCCAGCTATGACCTAGAAACTTCTCATCTCACAAAGGATTATCTACATCTACATAAAATCTGCACTGCTTCACATCCATCTGGGAAAATCCTTAAGGAAGATACCTAGGCAAGAGATGCTGAGTACTTCTGTGCAGGGTGAAAACACCTAAGACACAGGGCCTACGATACAGGTAAATGTAACTCTGGAAGCAAGAGAAACCAACTCAGTCCATGTCATCATCCAGAACTTTGCCCTCGCTCCTCTCTCTTTTCCTACTGGCTTTCCAATCATGAGATGGATGGTACGTGTAGGAAGGGCTGGCCAGTGGACCGTCACCAGAGCACTTTTTGGTGGCATCTGTCCCAAAAGGGACAAAGGGTCTTTTATGAAAGCTTCTCGCAGAATCAAGGCAATGTTGGAGTCAGCACTATGTTCGCCCCTTGGTGTTAGCTCCAAAGCAAGCTCTTACTGTTTGCCGGTCAGTCTTACTCTGAATGTGAGAAGGGAAGTATGTGACTGTGCCCTTTCCTCGGCTGCAGTTCGTGTTTTAGCATTCTTAACTTCAGACACATATTTTAGAGGGTTCACAAGCCTACTGAAATCAGTTTGCTCTGTGTGTTCTGTTGTCTGAGAAAGGCCATAATTTTCATCATAGTCAGAAAGAGGTCAACAATTCTCACCCCCAATTGAGAGTAACAAATTCTAAACACATTCTTTTTCAGTTGCTAGGTTTTTTACCATGAATCTTGAGACTGGCTTGGGGAAAAGGTCAGAAGTCTTGACTGATGAAATGTTTTCTCCTCTCTCTAACAGAGACCTGCTTCTGGGCCTGAGACACAGTTTTCTCTCCCAGTTCACACCAGGAGCTCTGGGGACGCTGGCATGGCATTCACGGATTCCTTCAACTGTTAAATAGTTACTGTCCTACTGATTGTTCAGCACCACACTAGCGATGCAGCACGAGGAAGATGTGCAGGAGACAGAACAGGGACCAAGGGAGGAACAAGGAAAACATTTCCTTCAGAACAGCACTTTCAGACACAGCGTCTTATTTTCTTAGCTGATAACCCATTTTTCACAATAATGAAGAAAAAGAACCCTGAGTGGATCTCTAAGAGCCTTTTCCTAGCTCCATGTGGACCGTCCTGGAGGGTTACCACAAGTACTACCAGTGCAAGGTATCTGCCCTCTCCTCCAGCGGACACACCAGTTAGCTTATGTACTGAAGATTTTATCTGAAATGGTCCATGACTGCCTGCAGTCCCCAAATAAAGTAGCACACAGTCTTCCTCCTCAGTGCTCACCCTCCTCTTCGACCAGACACAAACTGCAGAGGGATTCAGACATTATTTTCTTTTACTGTCTATTTGTTTGTTTTTAATTAGGGTGTGAAGTGAACAGCCTGTTCTACAGAAGCACACAGGAAGAGCATCCACAGCTTTGGAGGCACCAAGTGAACTAGGTTCACATCCTTAAGTGAATCAGTAACCTGCCAATCTCAGTTTCCTCAGTGTAGAACTACCTCCCCGCGCTATGAAACTATACACATTCTGCTCAATACCAACAGTCTTTAAAATGTTGATCCTTCTCCTTCTTATCCTGAATCAAAACCTGTCTCTTAACTTTCCTCAGTTCTCCTTGCTCTGGCATCTGACACTTTACATTCCCGAACAAGTACACTGCTGCTCCTAAATTCCCTTCTGATATCTGGGAGGAAACAACAGCCTGCTTTGATTGCTGGAAGAGCTTTTTTTTTTTTTTTTTTGTAAGCCAACTAATGAAATGTAGGTGTTAGCCTGAGTTCTGTGGCCCTTGCCCCGCTATGCGGCAGGCACTGCTCCAGCAAATACATCCCTTGCCAAATGCTGATGGGGGCAGATACCTAGAAAAGCTCAGTTACCTGGCCTCTGTTGAGTCAATGATTGATCTAGTTTGAGGGAGCTATTACATGAGCAAGTAGTGGTCTTAAAGGTGCACCACTTATATTTTGTGGCACATAATAAATTTTCATAAGCATCGGAGCAGAGTAACATGAAGGAAACATAGGTACAGATTCTTAACTCCTATACACAGTATACTCTTGTAAGACTCACGTTCTCAAGAAAGAAGCCTTTAGACTATAGGTTGTTTTAAGCTACTCCTTCATTCCTAATGTTCATAATCACCTGACATCCTCTTCAGAAAAAAAAAAAAAAAAGCTTACCTCTCATCTCCTGAATCTTACATGCAACAATTCTATTTTTATTTTATCGTATTTTAATGTACTTAGTACAGGATCTACAGGGTCTCACTATGTAGATCAGAGTCGTAGTGATCCTGTTTTCAGCTCCCAAGCTCTGGGATTACAGGCATGCACCACCACTCCAGTCTCATTCACAGTCTCAGGGTGCCCTGAGGTGGGGCCAGCACAGGCTTGTGGTGACAGGGATGGAACCCCATCCGTGCACTCTGCCTAAGCAGGCACTTTAGTCCGCTGAGCTATCTGGCTGGCCCATATGCAACAATTTTAGAAGGCCTCGCTGCTAGGCGTCCTGAGAGCAGGGGGAGATGGTGAAGGAGACAACTCCTTATTCCAGCCCGGCTGTGCCCTCTTGACAAGATAGGGCACTTCGTCTTTTCCGAAGGGCGATAGCTGTCGTGAGATGGCATATTACCATGTTTATTTGAACTGAAAAAAGGAAATCAGGCTTGATGTGACAAAGCACAAGCCTGACTTGGCTGGATGGTTTGGCCAGAAGAACGGGCTTTGCCAATGAGCTTATGCAGTGAATTGTACCTGTGAATCTACAGTGCCAAAGTTCTGACAGAAGTGTATATAAAAGCTCATATGTTAGCTAGACAATATGTCAGCAGTCATATTCTTTTCAGCCACTTAAACTTGATATATTTTCCGGAAATGACTTAAAAACATGCTAGAAGGTACATACTTTTTTCTAATCTTTTAGGGGACATAAAATCAAAATATTTACATAAAGTAACTGGAAGTGATTAAATTCTGACTGGGAGGGTGGCATGAAACTGAACCCTTCCCCGGCTGGGTCTAGGTGTTAGGGTAACAGAATGGGATTAAGTGTGCAGAGAACCATGTCCTTGCAGCAAGAGTTGACCAAGGCATACTACAAACCCCAGTCACAGCCACGGAACAGCACTAATAAAGTGATTCAGATGGAGAAGAATTTCACTCCCTGACCATTTTTTTGTTATTGTGTGTTATGGTTTAAATTTAGAATGTCCTCCCAAAGTTTCATGTCTCAGAGAAGGGACTTTTGGATGATGACCAGATCGTGGGGTGTTATATCATCAGAAGGTTAATCCACTTATGAGTTCACAGCTCTGTGTACTGTTTGAAGTCAGGGCCTCATTGGAGGAGGCAGGTCAGCGGTGGGCATGACCTGAAAGAGTGCATCTCCTTGCCTGTGTTACAGTTTGTGTCTAGTTAACCCCCTCAAGCCTCATGCAATCATAGAGTAGACTTCTAGAGTTTGTGCTTAGTTTGTGATCCAATGCTGGGATTATGGGTGTGAGTGCTACACTGCCCTGGCACAGATAGCCTGGACACAGTACAAGACAGGGAAAGAGCCTGCTCTCGGCCTCTGCCTCTGCTCCACTGCTACTCTTCCCTTTTGCTCTTGTTTTCCACTGCCATGAAATGCTGCCCTCTTCCATGTGCCATTCTGCCTTGGAGCTAGCCGATTATGGATTGAAACCTCCACTAACTGTGAGCTAAATACACCT